TCCTGTGTTTGAAAGCATAGGTGAGCTACACGATAATTTCCTGAAAGCTCTTTTGACTCCTTTTAAGTTCAATTCCCTAAATTCGATGCTTATTTTGTCAATGTTATGGTGGAGTTTAATTAATCTGGATTTTGCCAGCATCTTAGGAATGCTGAGAGATTGAGATGCAAATTAAATCATTCTTACCTCCCCTTGGCCTCCATATGCTGTACAAGAAAGTGCTAACTGATAAATAAGCAGACTCTACTTGGGGTGACTTGGCCTCCTGGCAGATTGGGGATGCTTAGAGCTACACAATCTCAGCCTACTGGGAAAAAAGCTATAGAGTAAAATGTTATCATTATTTAGTCAATATTGCCAAACTTCCATTATGGGGATGATTTGACAGAACTTAATCAAGCCTAAATCTTAAATAAGCAAGCAAGAGATGCAGTTTCTTAGCATCCTCCTCCGTTTATAGTGCACATTAATCCTACTGTTTTTAAATCTACTATATTACTATACACTATAGAAACAAAACAAAAATGCAATCACTACAAGAAAATGTCTCGATCGTGACGACATAAATGGTTGGATTAAGGCATGTATAAGCTACCACATAAGTACATTTACGTGTCTAATGAGACAACAGATAATTCTCCAATTTGGCATTTACAAGTTATCTGCTGTCCCAATATTACATTTAAGGGAAATTCTGCAATGTGGTATACCATGACTGTGGAACAACTATTCCTAGAATAGTTGACTATCAGGAAGAGTTTTAAACTTCTTCTTGACTTACATTCATGTTAGGATTTCTTAAAAATTTCACTTGCGCCCATCTGGTTTGGTGGTGCTTCAGTTTTCTCTGATTTCACCATTAACTCCCTTGGGTCCACCTCTTCCCTTTAGTGTAGAGTAGGAGTAGGTATAGAATATAATTTTTTGTATTCAAAAAAAAAAGAAAAAAAGTATACCATGTTTGTGATACCGGTAGAAACAAGAGTGTAAAAAAAAAAAGAAAAAATCATGAGATACTGTAAATATGGTATGCCACATGGTAGATGATCCCTTTTATTTAATCTCTCAATTGTAAATTCTTGTGCCCAAATTCTGATATATTCTGGAGATGTCGCATAATGCCTTCAATTAATTGGTTTGATCATCATATCTTTACCTACACTTGATATAGAGCCATTGCCATAATGGCTTTCTAATTTTTATGGGAACATAGGAACTGCTACAAGTTTGGTTGCAGAATCTGAGTATATCTACTGAATAGACAGTTTGAAGTACCTTCTCATATGGGCGTATAATTGCAGATCATTGCAAGACTTTCATTTAAAAGGTTGAGGTCTTATCCTGACATACATAGAAGGAAATAAGGCCTCTTTTTCCATACTCTCTAATCGTATAAATGATAGAATTTCCATATAAATTGACACAATAAACATGAGTTATAATTGAATTGGTGTAAATTCACGATTATACAAAAAATATCTTAGTTTATATCGAAATTATATCAATTTACACAATTGGACGGAATCTCAACTGAAAAGGCTCAAAAAAAATATTGTGTGATACTGTTCTAATTCGTCCTTAACCTTTTGTAATCAACGTTTAGCAGGGTCAGGACCACTTTCTTTTGCTTTTAGAAATTTATTAGAAGTTTGGTTAACAAATCACTTGTAAATATACCATTACTTTCTCCTATTTCTACCCAAAAAAAAAAATGCATTGCCATATTTACATACCATCTCCACTTCCCGCTTACAATGGCAGAGTCCTATTGAGAGTATTATTCCCAGCCAAATGACTTGGGCGCCACCTACTACTTACCATCAACTCCATAAGCCCTTCACAGCTTTCTTGAGCCCCTGCAAAACCCCAGCCTTGCACCTCCTAATTTCTTGTTCCTCTACTGAATCTTGTAACCGGATAATAAGGGCCATTTTCACTCTCCATCCCGTTCACAACAGTCATTCCAGAAAATAAAAAGAATCATTCTTTACAGCCAAAACGTTACACCAGAGCATAGAGGAGATTCTTTTGTTGAATGGGTTAAAGAAAAAGCAGTCTGACCCAACTGATATTCTTCAGCAAGATGGAGATTGGAGCAAAGAACAATTCTGGGATTTCATCAGATTCCTTAGAGAAAGTTCAAGGACCAGTGAGATTCTTCAGGTACTACCTCTCCTATCTGTTGGAGTCATCCAAATCTCTTTATTAAACTTTGGTTAAATGGTCTTTGGGTTTGCTGATACTTTGTGGGTATTGGCTCTTGGGAATTTGCTGGGATAAGTTCTTTGGTTGTTGTGTGAAAAGCTCAGTTTGATTGTGGTTTATTTTTTCTCAGTGAAAAAATATGGTTGATTTTTTTGCCTTTTTTGGGGTGGTTTGGGGCGGTTGGGGGGGTGCTGTTGCTGTCTTTATTTTCATTGTCCATCATGCATAAGTGGTTTTCTGAAGTTAGAAAATAGAAGACAGAGTTGATATGAAGGACGTATAGTTGTCATTTATGTCTTTGTATATTATAAATATGTTGTAGGCGTTTGACCTGTGGAAGGACGTGGAAAAATCCAGAATTAATGAGGAGAACTATGTGAAGATTATAAGCTTATTGTTTGAGGATGGACTGACAGATGCAGCGATATTGGCGCTCAAACAAATGGAGAGCCATGGAATTAGGCCTTCTCTGGAAATGTACAATGTAGTGATTCATGGGTTTGCAAGAGCAGGACGGTTTGAGGATGCTGTGTTTTATCTCGAGGAGATGATGAACGCTGGCTTAAAGCCCTGATACAGAAACCTATGATGGGCTTATTCAATCCTATGGGAAGTATGGAATGTATGATGAGATGGGTAGATGCCTGAGAGAGATGGAATCCGGTGGGTGTTTACCTGATTATGTAACTTACAACTTGCTGATTCGAGAGTTTGCAAAAGCTGGATTGCTCAACAAGATGGAAAGCACTTATAGTGCTCTTCTTGCAAAAAGAATGGATCTGCAGAACTCTACTTTAGTTGCAATGCTGGAAGCATATGCCAACTTTGGAATTTTGGACAAGATGGAAAAGGTTTTCAGAAGAGTTTTAAACTCAAAAGCTTATCTAAAGGATGATTTGATTCGTAGATTAGCCAGAGTCTATATTGAGAAACTTATGTTTTCCAGATTAGAGGACTTGGGACTTGATTTATCTTCTAGAACTGGCAGCACTGATCTTGTGTGGTGTTTGCGCCTCCTTTCTCATGCTTGTACTTTGAGCAAAAAAGGAATGTATTTCATTATTCAGGAGATGGAATCCAGTGAAGTGCCATGGAATGTAACAACTGCTAATATAATGGCATTAGCCTATTTGAAGATGAAGGACTTTACGCACTTGGAAATTTTACTCTCTGAATTACCATCTCGATATGTAAAACCGGACATTGTTACTGTTGGAGTACTTTTTGATGCCATCATTTCTGGGTTTCGGGGCAATCCAGTAAAAAGATTATGGACAAAAACAGGATTTTTTGATGATACTGTTGAAATGAACACAGATGCTCTTGTTCTGATTGCATTTGGAAAGGGGAAGTTCCTGAAAGATTTTGAAGAGATGTTCCCCTTATTTGAGGCCAAAACTAGAAATGGGATGTGGACTTACCGCCATCTCATAGATTCTGTCAAGACTCGGTTTGTGGGTGGTTGAACAATTTAAGCTAAAGGAATTTGAAGTATAATGAGAGCCTTGATGAAATGGAGCATATTTGTTGTCATGTTGATGGACATCTTGAAGGACTCTCTGTAAAGTAGATAAGAAGAGGATCAGAGTTACACTTGACATATGGGTGGTTAAACAAATTGAAGCTTAGATCAAATCTATATACGAAATGCAAGAAAGTTGTTGGCATCTTGATGGGTTCTCTACATGGTACATAGGAACTGTATTAGAGAACATGAATTTTGGGCCATCGGAAACTTGTGATAGTCAAAGATTCTGCTTTAAATTCATTTGCCTAACCTCCAAAGACAGCATTCTAGTTGCATCTGTAACTCAAGGACATCGATATTTTTTTGTTTGAACTGAGTGTCAAATGATAAATATTAAGATGCATTCTCAGATGAACTTGATAAACTGAGTGAATTGTTTGTTTTCTGCTCGCTGTCTTGAAATACAAGGTTCTTCAATCGCATGGAGGCTGCCAACATTTATAGTTTCTATTTACGTGCTTCTGGTATTGAAGAAGAGACTGCAGATAAATCACCCTTAGCAATAAAGATGATAAGAGTATACTGACAAAGCTTCCATGTCTTTCAGAATACAGAAGCTGCATTGGAATTTCTTACAGGAAGTCTTAGTGGGAAGAGGGTGGGCCAGGTAAGGGGGTTAGTTAAGAAAGAAATGTTGATTAGCGGAAAGGTTTGAATCGGGGGAAGGTTTTGCCTTGAAGATCCTTCAATATGTGTCATCTTCTTCAGCTGTTTATTCTTGGTTTCCAGACCATAGGTTGTGATGGTAAGGAGCTTCCCCTCGGTTATAGCTACACGAGTTCCCTGGAAATTCCAAGGTGAAACATGAATTTGTATGTTTTATAAACTTTCTCAAAATCTTTCTTAGTGTAGGTTCAACAAGTCCTTATGATTTCAATGGATAAAGTCAAATAAAAAGGAATAGAATGGAAAATACGATGAGCATATGCCCTTTTCCCCTCATCTTGGCTTGTAAATTATTTCTGGTCTTGGTGTGTGTTCTTTAGGTTCAAAATTTTCTGCTGTAGAGTACCGAAAGATCATAGTCTTGGTGCACATTGTCTTTTCCTTCCAATTTCCACTGAGAAAATTGATTGCCAGTCCAAACTGGATGCACTCTTGGTGATCTAGTGGAGTAAATACTAGCCAAGAATAGAAGACAAAATGGAAGCATGATAACTTTTTCCTCTTACGTTTTACATACAATTGGCATGATGCAGGCATCTATATTTGTATAAGCAGCATATAACTTCATTACAAACAAAAATATAGACCATGCCATCACGGCATTGGGTACCTTTTCCTAGTTACATGGCAGATGCCCTTCAGATGCAGACTGAATTTCTTCAATTTAGATTCAGTCCTCATCCATTAGACTCTTTGAGAATGAATCTATTTCTGCCAGTAGTTCCTCATTTGTACATTGTGATCTCCCTAGGCGATCATGAGAAGATAGAGATGACATAAGGTTAATGAGGATCTCACAAACTTTCCCTGAACCATAAGAAAGTCCGCTTTCTTTCTCCTTTTGCACCTCACTGGTGTCATTTTGAACTTCATCCACATATAAATGTTTCCTGCAAGCCTGCAAGGTGAATGTGAATATAAGTTTCTACTGGGAGCTCGCGGAAGAATGCTTCTGCAAGGACGACCACAAAGAGCTGAAAAGAATATTGGCATGTCAAACAGATATATTAATTTCTGCTGGGGTATTTCTTTCAGTTGTGAACATTTATGCCTTGAGATTTAGTGATATCTTATGAAAGGAAAAGGAAACTAGAAATAAAGGTCCGCAAACGTCACCTGGAAGACCCGATTTAGGCTGGCAATATGTTCAGCCTTTAGATACCCAGAATTTAGAAGCTCCCGAAACAAAAGAACAAGTTCCCTGCTCACATTACTTCTTGTAATGTTTTGAACAATTGCAGTTAAAGAAGAATCATCTAACACGGAAGCCATCCAGTGGGGAGTTTCTTTTGATTTTAGCAAAGCAATAGCAACATTAACTGCAGGCTTGTGATGGATCATGAAAGATGTTGATCCGATGCGTGGAACTGCCAAAAACATTACTAGTTCCTCTACTATCATCCTGCACCAGATGTTACTTTCTGCAGCTAATTCCTTCCCATCCAGCACTTTCCAATCAATAAACATCGACAGACAACGAGAACAATTAAGAGAGGTTCTGACATCACTCGAAAAAATCAGGCCTTCTAAAATAGCCATTATGGACAATAGATAGCCACTTCTAATGTTTAACCCATCTGGCTCTCTACTTCCTTGATCTGATATTTTGTTTAATAGCTCCAGCAAGCAATATGAAGAAACGAGTTTTATTGCGGGAGAGCCAAAATGCAACAACTTGCAGAAATCGCGACAATGCAAACTAATGTAGGCTATTGGCTGCTTCTCATTGCCATCCTTGAGTAGATTATGCAATTCTGTTATCCCTGGTAGAACAGCTGATAGACTAAGAAAGAACAGAATTACTTTCATAAAGATGAATCAATATGCATCTTAAAAAATAGAAAAGAAGTAATTTACCTTCTTAAAGAGAAGAATATCAGTAAAAGCAAACAAATAAGAGCTTCTCCATTTTTTGTTTCTTCTCCTTTTGAACAAGCTTCAGCAATAGCTTGTTTTATTATTGAGGCTAAAGGAGTACTCAGAAGTATGAGTTTGGAAGTTTCAATCAGCACTTGATTTGTAGAGTGGTGCAATACCAATGCAAAAATGCTGATCACCATAATACTTTCTTGGGTCCAACAATCTGTTTTTCTTGTACCTGTCAAGTAATTCATCAACTACAAAGTACGAAAAGGACCAAATTAATAGTAGGCAACCAGAAGAAAATGCAAAGAAGTAAATTTCAACTGATTTTACCTTAATGGAAATAGCAACCCAAGTTTCATCATCAGAAAGTGACTCAGATTGCACTGACCGTAAAATTAAAATAACTAGATTGGAGATGTCGATAAATAAGTCCGGAAGAGATGAGTATCTTGAGTGGCTATAAAAATTACGGATTGGACTGGCTATCCCATGCACGCATAACAGATCTGAAGTAGCTGGCATCACTTTAATTATTTCTGCAATTGTATGAACTACTGATATGATGTCATCTTCTTGGTCATCCTGTTCTATGAGCTCTCCAAGTAAACACACAAAATGCATTGATCCAAAATTATGTCCCGACATTATCAACTCTGCAATTGATCTTACATCTAAGTTCAGCTTATTTTTGCCAAAGGCAATAATACTGCTTCCTCCAGAACTGTTGCTTCTACAAAAATTCAGCATCTGTTCTGACAGTATCTTAAAGATTTTATCTTGTTGGAACAACCATTGAGAGAAGTAAAATGAAACTTTATTGAAAGTAAATTCCAATCCTCATCAGTCAATAGATGGAACAGGATTCTTTCTGCTTCTGGGCTATAAGGGACTTGGTAACTCATCTTGGCAAGACCTCTATATAGCCCATAAAGATTCACAAGTAACTCAATTGTCAGTGAAGGAGAAGCTCCACACAAGAGATCACTGCCATTAAGCAAAATATACTGCTCTAAAGAAGCCAGCGCCATCTTATCATCTGCAAGCCTAGGAATAAGCAACGAACAAAAAAGCACAAAATTCATGTGAGACAAATGCAAAATAAACATTTATGGAGCAATAGTGTGAGAAATGGTCAGCAAATCAATTACCTATCATCATAAAGAGAGCTTACATATAGTATTAGAAGTACTGCAGATTGACAAGAAAATAGATGCATATTGTGAGAGCTCTTCTGCCCCAGAAGGAACAGCAAATCTATAGGGTCAGATGGTAGGTGGAATGCAGCACCTCGTATTGGCTGTCCTGCATCTTCACCTAGGAGCAGATCCGCTATTAAACTGAAAATCAGATACACCTTCATTTTTAAATTTTCAGAAGGAAATGACCCTAAACATCCTAATAGGACACTAAACCAGGATGAAGAGACCATAATCTCAGCCAATTTCTTGATTTCAGTGTCAGTATCCTGAATCATTATGGATTCAAAGGTTTCAATCACCCCCAGGATAATATCTTCCTCTTCTATGTCATTGATGGTTGTCATGAACCATGGAAGTATATCTTTTTGACATACGTAAATGATTCCACGCCTCAGACCAAGTTAATTGGTTCACTACTATTTTCTGCATGGCTATATGCATATGTTTCTTTCAACAGGTAAAGGGAGTGCAAAAGTTGATCAGGGTGCTTATCATAGTTACCCAAACAAGACAACACAGCGTCTCTTGATGCATCATGAAGTGGCTTAAACTTAAAGCCCCACAGGAAGATGAATTTTTCATTAGAGTAACTAACAATGTGCAGGCCAGATTGAATGTCTCTGGAAGAATGCCTGACTCCCTGCCTGTATTTTTCTTAAGCATCCCTGTCATAATAGTGCTTAGTTCTTCAACATCAGATCTGGAAACTATTCCTGGACACTCTAACAACAGTTCCCTACAAGCTTCAGCAACTGAGTTTGGGCAGGATGAAAAGGAACTTTGGCTACATGATGCAGAACAGGAATCAGGGTTGCAAACCCAATGGCAAGCCTTTGTCTAAATGCCTGCTCAGCTGTTGATAGTACATCAAGAACCTGAATGCAAGAGTTTACCAGTGGATCCTTGCATCCTAGAAGAGTAGAGGAAAAGTTTTCAGCAGATAAAATATACACATCAGTTAGTGGTGGATAAAATAAATGAAATGCCAACACATTATTAGCTTGACTTTATTATAAGCTAAGCTGCACTTAAATGCCAAAACAGTGACATGATTACAGGACAGGACTCAAGACATAGAACTATTAAGTACATCATGCTCTCCAGCTTTTTCCTAGTGCTTATGTGCAATATCAAATTTGCAATTTTCATTCCTACTTCTGCGACAGACTAACACATTGGATTGGCAAAAGTATCACAGTTTTCCTAATGAAGCTAACCTGATAATCTCAGTATTTCAAGTACATAATCTGCAATGTTCTCCTCTACCATTACTGTGATTTCTTCTTCAGTGCCACCTTCACATGCAAGCACCAAAAAAATCAAATCCAATGTGGCAACTTGAACTTGGCAATCTGAGGAAAGCAGGGGACTTTGACAGCCTCAGCAAACAAGCTAATGAGAGGACGGCCATCTGTGGTCTGCTCTGATATTTGCATCAGATTCTCTGCTTCAAAGAATCCTTTACTTCATTTCTACATGTATTCTCAAACCATCCTCTAAGAGCAAACACTGTCAAAAGTGCTACAAGGCAAAACAGGAAATAATTAGGTCAGATCAATCCAGAAGTAAATCTTTGTTTGCATAAACACCTGGTAGTATACGAGTCGCTATTGATCTAATTGTGTGTATTGATGCAGTAAACAAGCAATTGATTCGTATGGTTTAGCCCAATTCTAAAGAGCTTAGTGTTTTAAGCATCATAGCACGAAGGACTTGGAATCATATTTTGAATTTGAGATCTTAGTGATTTGCACCCAATATGGATCATTTGTTTTCACAACTTGATACCCAAAGATAGAACTAGTGTACCAAAGTCATCCTGACTTATAATAGCTTCCACAACAATATGTCCTGCAACAATTAATGCTTGACCCAAGTTGTTTCCAAAATTACATGATGCAGTTCAAACTTGACAAAATTATATTCTTGGTGTCTGGGTTCAGACTGTAAATCTTATTCATGTGGAACAATCATTATAACATAGTTCCTTTAAAAAATAGAAAAGCATATCAAAATAGTACATAGGTGGAAGATCTTTACAGTGCTTGCCATTTTGGTCAAGGTAAGGCTGCATAGGCATATGTCATTGTTCTCAGTAGCATTCTGAATTTAGAGACTAAAACTAGAATCTTTATTCACCCAATATAAACCCTCTATAAAAATCTTTCCTGCAACCTGGTAATCCAGTATTGTCTGCATCAAGGAATATCTGCCTCCTAAAGGCAGCTGCTATCTGTATAATGAATTTGACTCAGGTCAATGCATGCCAACTCCACACTAAGGTGACAGTAGGAAGCATGGAAATTACGGAGAAAAAGAGAGAAGAGCAAGCTAAAGTCAGTTATAGCCTCATTTCAAACAACAGACCAACCTATACAGTTCAACCGAACATCATCACTTTGAGTCTTCATGAGGGCTTCCAGTGATAAGACCAAAAGCTTAGCACAATTCGCATCTAATACTTCAGAAAAATCATTATCTTCATTGGCATTGACCAGGAAAGCTATTTTGTACAAAACAAACAGAATCTCTCCTTGGATTTCTTCACTGTAGTAAAAGGAGGAAAAATTAGAAGAAAACGACAAAAGTTGAGGCACATAAAGATATTTCATCTTTTATGTAATCACCTAGGCAACTGAAGACCTGCGATAAGGTTGAAAACAAGGGCACCTTTGTCTTTGACATATATATGAGGATTACTTTTCTGACACTCCAAGAGAACGCCCAAGCAATGAAGCTGCAATCAACAAGATTAGGAACTTAAATTTCCAAGAAAAAATGAAAAATGACAGATAAACTTCACTCCCATAAAAATTGCTCTGGAGTCTTCAAATTTACAAACTAATTCATCTATACATCACTTGATAAACATTTGGGAAAATTACATCTGATAAAGGAAGGAAAGATTACAGGCACTGAAATTGTCTACTTTGTGAGCAAAAAATAGTTAGTAGATGTGAAAATCCTCCAAAACCAGAAATGAGAACAAAAAAGAGAAAATGGACATCATGGAGCACAAGCATTATATTTATCCACACACACAAAAGAGGAAAATTCAGACAATCAAATAGAATATAACATAATTTTGTACTACTAATTATGAAGCCTGATCCAAGCAATAACAGAATAACGATAAAACAACACTAGAAATGAAAATGAAATGTAATTTTGAAATAAAAATTCCAAAATTTTCATTATTAAGAAAACTCAACCACAAATAAAAAAGGAATACTTTAGTAAAAAATGAAAAAAAAAGGGAGTTACAATTTGGAGCTGTTGGCAACTCCAAGCTAGGGAGTAAGACGAGAGACGATCAGTAACTTTTGCGACGAACTCTCCGTACACTTGACCATCCTTAGCAGCGTCACATATTAGCAAAACCAAATCCACGATTTGTGCGGCGATGGCAGCATCGTTGAAGGCGGAAAGGGACTGAATGAGAGGAGAAATTAGGAAATGAGAGTGGAAAGTGACGAAGGAGTGGAGAAATTGAGGTTGAGCCAGGGCTTGGGAGAGTTGAGAGAGGGCGTAGGAGACGTGAACTGTTGGGGATTTGGGATTGGAGATGAGATTCGAGAGGCAGACTAGGCAGATCCTTCCGCCTTCCGAAGTTGGGAGGTTTAAGGCCGTGCTGTGGCCTTGCGAGCATGCTTCGTACGGCGGCGGCGATGTGGGAGTGGTGGTGCGCGGTGGTGAAGAACATTTTTGGTTCTTTTTTGAATTTGAGCAGTGAGAACTTTTGGCGCGGAGGGGAGTGAACGGGATTTTATGGTTGGGACTCGGGAGAATGAAAGTTGAAAATGGTAAGAGTTTTTTTTTTTTTTTTTTGTGCAGAAAAAGGATAAATTATGAGTTGAATCAAAATGTGAAGTTTTGAAATGAAAATTATGGATCCAAAAGATAAACGTGTGATATTGTAGCACTGTTTTATTACGTAACGAATATGAAGTAAAAATAGAATTAAAAATATAAACATGTAATTAAAAAATGTATTTACGATATAACAAAAAGAATTCTAAAATAATTTGGCATCCAAACAATTAGTGTCATTCGTAAATTGTACTGGAATATTTCAAATGTATTATAAGGCAGTTGAATAATTGAGAATTTAAAAAGTTAACATTCGACTAAAATGATAAAGAGAATAAGAGTGTACAAAAATAAAATAAAATTCAAACGAATTGGATTTCATTTGTCATCCCTCAAGTATAATAAAAAGAGAAGAGGAGTAACTGTAGCAGCCCCAAAGGTTGCCACATGATTCTCCTTCTTTTTGACAAGTAGCATATTTCGTGATTTAATTCTTTTCTTTTCTTTTTTTCATTATTTTCCCCTCATTTTCTCCTTCCTTTTTGATCAAGACAAAAATCTACACAAATCCTAATGTCGCAGCTTCATCCTTTCCCATCCTTTACCTCTTTATCGCTCCCACGCTTTACACCTTTCTCTTTCAATGTTCTTTCTCCAAATGAGGCGAATTTACTAACATACTCATATTGTTAATTTTCTTTCTAAAATTTTGCCAATGTATTCCCATTTATACTTTTCACTGGAACATTATATGTTAAATGATGCTTTTAGACTCTGAGTTGCGAGTTGAATGAGTTATTTTTTTCTAACGATATTGACACAGTTTGTCATGCTATTATTATATTTTCAAGTAAGGACATGTGAAGGTGTATGTATTTGTTAGAATTAATTTTACAAAAAAATTTTCATGCTTTCTTTTTTTAGTTAATTTTTAACTTAGGACTGTCTTATTTTTGGATTAATGTTTTCGAATTAGCAATGCTAAACAGAAACACTATCATGTTGAATCTATATTTGTTTGCCATATATTTAATTCTTATATTGCTGCTATTTTTCTAAATAAAAATGTAATTATATATATTTTAAACAATATTTTACATGGGCCCAAGCTGTGCCTTGCACGGCGTGGTTTTCCTAGTATCATAAAATACCGAAAAAGAAAGATTTGATTAAGAGTTATGTGTATAAAACTTACTGGATGGAAAAAAAAAAAAAAAAGAAAACCAATAGGTAAAATGGAAAACAACAAAATAAGATAATTCTAATCAACAATGTAAGATTCACAATCCTCCCAAAAAGAAAAAAATAAGTGCTATAGATATAGTAGGTGAACTAGACTGAAAACAATAGCATCATAGTACTTAATTTGAACCAAAAGAAACCAATGCAAAAAAATGACAAAACTTGTCTATGACCGCCACTAAATAGTCTATGCGTAGACAATTCACTTTCTATCAACAACTAAACCGTAATCAATTTCAGCTTCAGGTAATTTGTTCTACATTTATCAGTCACCTCAATGAGGTGCATTAAGCAATATTAATATTCTCATTAAGACAAGAACTATCGAGAGTAAGACTTGATTATGACTACAATTCATCATAAAAGAATAGCTAAGTCCTATGTGTAGAAAAAGTGTGGAGGAGATATATAGAAGCCATATATCATCTTGTTCTTCTGCAGATGGAACTTTTGGAATTGGTGGAGTCAACTACAAGAGGCAGTGGAAAGGCAAGAAGGGAGGGAACATACTGACTTGACATCAAACTTATAATGGTAAATCTGGAAAGCCAGGAATCAGAATTGCTTTAATTCAGAGTGTAGAGAGAAAGAGGAAACAGAAGAACTGGGAAGAAATAAGACTGTTAAAAATCCAAGAAACAGTGCCATATAGCAAGCAATTAACATCTTCACTGATTGTGCACCTGATAAGAGCCCAGGAACAAAGCTGGACTAGGTGTGATAGTTAAAGACAACGAAAAAAATTCTCATGGAATGGCTACTTGGGAATCCCTGTGAATTTTTGTGCAAGATCATAAAAGCAATAGGAATCACGTCTGACCTTGCTTTTGCCATGGAGAGTAAATTCGTGCATCTATTTGTATCTCCTCTGATTGCAATGAAATAGTTACCAGAATTGAACAATGATGAATCTTTTCTATCTAGCGTATCACAAGACACTTGGAGACCTAAGTATAGCTTTTGAAGCAGCTCTCTCATTTAGATTCATAGGCAAGAGAACAAAATATTAGCCGTTGTTCGGCAAAATTTTGCCACTAAACTCCATGATGTAAAGTGGGAACTGGAGGGAAAAATTTTGCCACTAAAAATTTGCTCCCTGATGTCAAGGGAGAACTAGGTTCTCCATGGACTGGGGATAGGGAAGTTGCCATTAATTCTAGACTTAGTTCAATACAAAGCAGGTTACATTTCCACCCCCACTCCCAAAACAAAAATAATACTAATGCTTCCTAGGCCGAGTGAATCGGCATTTGAAGGCAAAAGACGCAGATTTAAGCTTCCAGAGAATAGTTACATGGTGAAATCTAAATAAGATCAATCTTCAATACAAAATGAAAACATAAATAACAACTTTGGTAAAAAAGTTCATTGGTAGAAAAGCAGCAAAAGAACTCATAGCAAAGGTGAATTGACTGACACAGCCTGCAGAACCTTCCAAAGTGCATGTGTATATGCTACATTCAAATGCTATAGAACTGTCAAAATAATCAAAATGTTCCAGGATTTTCAACCTAGAGCGCTGGAGCAATTAAAAGTACAGAAGTTCAATACAACACAAAATCTAAACCTGGATGATAAATTACAACCACAAAAGGCAAAATGTAGCTGCGATCTTCCTAAGCAGCACTCCATGAGAACACAGATGCCTCTATTATCCTGTATGCTCACTCGCCCTTCCAAAACATCTTCAACATAAAGCTTTTGGGCCCCTTACTTTCAAAGAAGCCAATGCCGCCGACACGCCAAAGAATGATGGCTCCTTATTGTTCAATATTTGAACATTTATTTAAGTCCGACCTCTCATTTCATGAATGACTGGAAAGAAAGGAATGAACACAAATTGAAGCACAAGGATACCAAGGGGAGTAACATCTCATCTCATTCTGGAATTCTTACAAAATCAAGAATCATTACATACTAATCTCAAGGGTCCAATCATTTCTCTCAAGAAGATTGCACTGCCAGCCGCTGAAGATGCTCAAAAAACACTTGAAGACTCACATCATCGGTGAAGATTATGTCTGTTCAGCTGCCATCTCATGCGCATTATTGTACGTAGCTGACGGGTTCAACTTTGCCAGTAGGAATCTTGCCTGATTTAACATTGACAAAAACTCGTATTAGCAGCAAACTCAAGTTTGCTTGAAGGGGGAAAATATACAACAAATTAGCAATAAGACCAGCTGCAGAGCTAGTCTAGTTTTCATCGTGAACCGTATTGATCATACTATTAATTTCACTCTTCTTTCTATCTAAAGGAGAAACTGAGGGATAAAGCTGAGGCATAAAATGAGGGATATCACTTTAATACTGAGGCATAAAGCAAGAGGGATATTAAGAAAAAAAAAAATGATGACAGCACAAAAATAAAAATGAACAAATTGATGGATAAAAGATAAACAGAAAAAAAAAACAAATTTATACCCAAATATCTCCCAGAACCTCACCCCCAATCCAATCACCCCTGAAACTGACCAGCACCTTCATTAAATTAGTTGAATAAATCGCGATGTCTTGCATATGTGGTGTAGCTCATGTTAAAACACAATTACAAAGTACCTTGCAGAATGTTTAAACAGACCAACCCATTGTTGTGTATTCCTCGTGTATACACAAGTTTACAGAATAAAAGTTTATGTCAAATAGCAAAGAGTAGAAGGTACAGATGACTTTCAATGATGACAACCTGTCACAGTAGCAAAAGTACTCGACAGCATTACTTTTCGTGGACTCCTGTTACATTTGTTTCATAAAAGAGGTTGAGATTGCATCATCACAACCAAGACATCCTTGGCTAGGCTCCTAAGGACATCATAAGAGAACTCTGAAGTGCCCCAAAGGCATGTGTACCCAAATCCCAACTGATGGCTTATTAGCATTGCATCATCGGAATGATCCTTTCTGTATATTCTCTTCCACCCCCTTTCTTGCTCTATTCTCTTATCAGTACTGTGCTAATAACCTAATCTTCTCTCAAAGAAAACTTTTTCTTTGTATTCCCCTATGACTGAAAACATCAAACCTGTCTCTATCTAAAGGAATGACCCAACAAGATGTAAATGAACTGCATTTTCTCATTGACCGGTCTTAGAACCTTAAAAAAGCAGATATCATACACACTTCTACAGAGTTTTCCATGACAGAACAGGTATTAATTCATCATAAGGGGACAAAGAAGTACAAAATATCACCCTATGATTTCGAAAGTCAGAAACAAGTACCCAAACACCATAACAAAAAAGCAGCCTAAATTTCCATGAGCCAGTATGTATTTTTTGAATGTTTCACCAAGCAGAGTTCCCTGCTTTTCAGAATGAAGTAAAAAGCAAGGATGCAGACTAATATAAAATCTAGAAGAGAACATGTATCGATATCATGGCAAGACAATTACAGGCAAAACTAGGATCAAACAAAAATAACCTGTGACCCATGCTGATCGCAAACCACCAATCTGGGTGTGGGAACCGATCACGAATAATTGTCTGGGCATCTTCTTGAGGAGCTTGCAAGAATTGTGCAAATACCTACATAGATGATGAAGAAAATAGTCACAAAGAAAGAAAGAAAGAAAGAAAAGGCCCCCGTACCAGGGTACACAGTTGATCTTGTTATCTCAGCACAATCTCATTTCCATATCAAATTAGATACTCATAAATGGGAAAATAGCACGAAGTGATAGCAAAAATACCAAAGAATTATCATAAGAAAATAGATATCTATCAATACATAAGCTCATGTGAACCCATATAGAAGCAAGCTGATAAGCTGAGTACTTACCAGGAGAAGCAAAACCAGAAAAACATAGGCTCCGTTTGGATTAGCTATTTTTAGGATTGTTTTTCAAAAACAGCACTGTAGCATTTTGTTTATGAAATACAAGTCCGTTTGGATTAATTGTTTTTGGAGTTGTTTTTCAAAACTATATGAAAAACTTTTACTGTAGATTTTTTTGGATTATTTTTAGAAGTATTTTTAAACATTTTTGGGTATTTTTATAATTTATAATTTATATTTTTTATTTTTATATACATTTATGCATTTATAATACATTTATAAATATTTATAAATAAATATATTTATATATTCGCTAAAAAATATATAAATGTATTATAAATGTATTATATTATATATAATACATAATATAAATATATTTATAAATATATAAGTGTATTTATTATAAATGTATAAATTATAAATGAATATTATATAAATGTATAAATTACAATTTATAATTT